CCAGAATCCCCTCTCCTCCTCCCGGCTACCCCCACTCCATTTCCCCCATTCTGATCCTTAGAGTCTCCCATCACCCCCCATTACCTTCTCTTTGGCCCCCAGGGTCCCGTGTCCTCCTTGCTCCCCCCACCTTCTGACCCCTTTTTCTGATCTCTGGAGTCCCCTGTACCCCCCGTGTGCTCCTCCCTGACCCCTGGAGTCAGTTCCCCCATTTTGACCTCCATTCCCCCCCAACCGGACTCCTTTTCTGCCCAATAGAAGCCCCCCACAACCCCTGGCTCTCTCCTCCCACCCCTTCCTCCCTCCAGCCCCAGATGCGCTTTCTGCCTTGCAGAGGCTCTGTTCACCCCTTTCCCTTCTACAGCCCACTAAGTACCCCTCCAACTCTTTTTCAACCCCATAGGCACCCCACTTCTCTCTTCTCCCCCCCAATACTCCCCTGAGGTCTACCCCAGACTCCCACCCCATAGAAGCCCCCCACAACCTCCTCACCACTCCTGGACCCCCTTTCCTCCCTGTAGAGACCCCACTCTTTTTTTTTTTTCTCCTCACAATCCTCCATCCACTCCCAGACCTGCCCTTTCTGCCCTACAAAAACCCCTTTTCCCCCTTTCAACTCCTCAAGTTGCCCTCCACAATATTCCCCTCCACAATGTACCCCTCCACCCCCAGACCCTCCTTTCCACTCACAGAAGCTTCTTTCTCCTCTTTTCCCCCTCACAATCCCCTCTCCACCCCCAGGTCCCCTTTCCACATCACAGGGCTTCTAGCCCACCACAATCCCCCACTTTTCCTCTTCCACCCTTTCTCCACCTCCAGACCCTCTTTCCACCTCACAGAAGCCCCACTCACACCTTTCCCCCCGTAGATTCCCCACAACCCCCTATCCACCCCCAGACTTTCTTTCCACCTCTAGAAGCCTCGCTAGCCCCTTTTCTCCCTCCCGCAACCTCCCCTATCCACCCCTGGAGTCATGCAGAAGAATCTGCAGATGTCCTCGAGGGGTTTGGGGCATGCGGGGGTGTTCCCAGGTGGGTCCAGGGGGATCCTTGGGTTCATCCTGAAGGGTCTGGAGATGTCCCAGTGGGGTCTTGATGTCCAGGGGGTCTCCAGGATGCTCCCAGGGATCCCTTGAAGGATCTGGAAACTCCGAGGATGGGCCCAGGAGCTCTGAGGAGCCTCTAGGATGATCTGGAGATGTCCCACCAGTAGCCCCTATGGTCCCATAACCACTACAGCCTCATCTCATAGCCATCCCATATCCTTATCCCACACCTTTGTCCCATCCCATATCCATCGCATCCACCCCATAGCCATCTCAAACCCATCTCGTATCCCTCCCTCCACACCTCGTCCCCATCCCCCACCCCATTCCCATCCCAAATCCACGTCCCCACAGATCCGCATTGCAAACAGGGCTCCCCAGTGGCTGCGGGTCTGGCTGATGGCAAAGTGCTGGGGCAGGTGGTGATGCACCTTTCTCCATCGCTGAGCTCATGTGGCCATGAGTAGGCCCACTGCCTCGCTTATTGCCTTGTCTGTTAAGCTTCTCTCCTGGCTACAGACGCTGCCAGTAAACACTATTGCTCGTGTTACGTTGTCATAGGCAATAAAATAAGCCTGTCCCAAAGACATTGGTGTCTTTGTTCTCCCTGTTGAGCCCATGGATTGGCACAACAGCGTCAGCATGCGATGGGCACGAAACTTGGACATCAGCAGCGGGACTTGAAAGGCCAGCATCAGGAACGTCTCTTTTGGAGAGAGGCTGAGAGACTGGGGCTCATTGAGCCTGGAGAGCAGAAGGCTCTGGGGAGACCACGTGGCTGCCTTTCAGCACACGGGGCCTCACAGATCACCCAGTTCCAACTCCCTGCTGCAGCCAACAGCGAGATCAGGCTCCAGGTCAGGTTGTGCAGGGTGCCATCCAGCCTGGACCTGAACACCCCTCAAGACGGGGTGCGCACAGCGTCTCTGGGCAGCTGTGCCAGCAGCTCACCAGCCTCAGCCTGTGTGACACATGGCAGGTTCTCGTGCCGTTTGCCGAGTAAAGCACAGCAATGGTCAATATTTCAACCTCACCTGGTGTGCGTGTGCCTGTGAATGCACAGGTTTCTGTTTATTAGGCAGACAGCTGCTCTTACCGAGCCATTAAAGTTAGGCTTGTCTTCCTGCGTACCGTAATTCAGTAAGCTGAGCGGAACTGCTCCTGGAAGAGGAGCTGCCCTCTCCGTGCCGGTGACCTAACAGAGCTCCAGGTGACACGGGCTGACGTCACAATGCCTAACAGAGCTCCAGGTGACACGGGCTGATGTCACAA